GACCTGTTAAACTCTGAAGCACCCACCACTGGATTCGTTTTTATAATCTTGTGTTATGAGGCCAAACATTTTTTCAGAACCCACAGAAGTTTATTTTATATTTCTCCGAGGACACAGAAGTTTCCAAAGATACCAAATCTGATTTAATAGAATATTCCCATTGGATGTCATAGTGCAGCTATAAAAATAAGGTGTAATTGGGCTTCAATATCACTTAGCGAGTAGAAACAGAGATTGTTATACATCTGGACAAAAGTTATTTTCTAAATTTAAATGAAATTTAGAGTGAATTTAAGGGGGAAATTAAACTGGACACTCACATATTGTCAATGTTTTTTTTAAGTGTGCAACTAGCGATTATTTCCCCTATCAATTAATCTGTTGATCAGTTTTTTTGATTAATAGTTTTGTTTATTTAATGCCAGAAAATATAGAAAAATGCATGACATAATCCCTTGATGGTAGGAGACATCATCAAATGTCTTATTTTGTCCAAAGATATTCAGTTTACACTAATATAAAACAAAGAAAAGCAGCAAACAAGCTCATTGGAGAAGCTCGAACCAGAGACTGTTTGCTTAGAAAATAACCAAAAACCATGAATTGATTATCAAAATAGTTGCTCGATATTCTTCTGGCAAATGTTTAATCGTCTAATCGTTGGAACTCTAGGGGCTACCCGTGTATGTGGGCCGAGATGTTTGTCACAGTCAGAAGGGTAATCATAAAGATAAAGATATAGATATTGAAAATATATGTACAGGTAGCAGGTAGGGGTTCACATTGTTTTACACAGCCAAACATCGGAAAAGAGCATTTCACCAATTTCAGAGTGTCTGAAGACTTCTTCCTTCAGACTTATCTCAGAGCTCATCAGGAACTCCAACCCTCTCAGTTATATACTTCAGTCTCTCCTTGTTTTCTTCGTTAATTCACAAAGTATAGACAGAAACCCTCGGGATAAGTGGGAATTTATTACATGAGATGAACCATTTTCAAGTCTTACAAACTCCTCTTTGTCTTGGTTTGCACCACCCAGGGTGAATTTGCATCTCTTTGCATTGACTTTATTTGCAGTATGCCCTAAACTCCAAATCGCTTCCTCTTCAGTCTGAACATACCTTTGGAGTTGGTTTTGTATGTTGGTTTTCATAGTTGAGGAGGTTAACATAGCTCAGTACTTTCCAACAGCAGAACCTTTTTTGCTGTCTTTATATTTATTACGCTATATAATAGTACCTAACATAAAGAGACAAAGTCCTGCCTCCTAGCTAGCCTATATAACTGTATTTTCTTTTGGAAAAGCGGAAACATATTTCTGGGTTTATCGTCTTAGTATCTAGAGCTCAGCAGCAGAGTAAAATCTGAGCATCTCATCATTTTAACCAATATAAAACTCAGATTATAACAGCAAATCCCATGAGCCTTAGCCACAGGAACAAGCCCTGACAAAACCCCATTTTACCTCAGTCAGCTGTTTCTATTGGTTCCCATAGCTGCAAAGTTATCACCTTTTTGGTGAAATTCACCTCCTGCCACCTTTTTCATCCCATTGGAGTTTGCAGACCTGGGTCCTTGTTATACGGTTTAACTTTAATGCTGTGCTCAAAAGCAAAACAACCGCATGTAATGATGCAGAGGACAATGTTTCCCCAGGTATTTTATTCCATTTGATTTTGGTGTACAACCCGCAGCTTTCAGATCACATCCTCTACATCTATTTCCAATGTTTGACCCGGTGGACCTGCCCTCAGACATGTGACCCCACCCACCCCCAGCTGTGAAACCCTGCGTGAAATAGATTGTCCCGGTTTTAGCCCCAGACCACAGGATCGAACCACCGCTGTTTGCCAAAGTGGGGGGATTTTCCACCGAGGCAGAAAGCTGGCTGCTCGAGCGAAACCGCAAACCTCGAGGGTGAGACAGACAGAGACAGAGAGA